CGTATTTAATAACCAATCTATCAACCTTATATTTGTCTCAATTCTTTTTATCTAAAATATTATATTTAAAATTTTCTCCTTTATTTTTTTTCACGTGTATTATTGTTCGTGTCTGAATTCTTAATTTATTTATCTTTTAATTCTTTGTTACGCTTCTTTTAGTCTCTAATCAAGTCTCGTTCGATAAGAATTTTTGCATATTGTGGGATAGGTTTCAGTCTCGATCTCTTATTTATAGAATTTTGAGATTTTCTCTTATGAATGAGCTTGTAGGCTTCATTTTGTGAGCGATGGTGCACTAATTGGAGCTTGAACTTTGTTGGTTGGTCTCAACAATTGAGCCTCGGGTTTATTTTGGTAGTGATATGGCAATTAGATAAGCCTAAAAGCTTACCTCCGGGATATAAAATTGCAAAAAATGTCATTAAGTTAGTTGAACCGAGCTCGAAGGATTTTCTTGACTTGGGGGTACGCTTGATCTAGGCCTACAAAGATGTTAGATAACCAAGGTTGAAAACAAGAGGAAAGAGCTTATATACCTCACAACTAGGGTTTTTTTTTAACTCTTATAGAGTTAGGATAAAAGAGGATCAGATCAGAGTTGGACTGAAATTCCACGAGTTAAGTGAGCGTTGAGTGCAACCCTTCAAAAGGAGTTGACTCTAGGCCAAAGCCAGTTATGAACTCGAGCTTCGACTCAAGGGCTAAGTTCTTATTCTGCATTGATCCGTTTTAATCTACTTTAGGCTTTTATACTTTATTTTGCCCTTAATTGCTCTAGTCCTTGATTCGTTCTTGTCGTTCTTGTGATGCAACACAGTTTTTCTGGTAATAATAATAAAAATAATAAAAATGATAAAATAAAACAAACGTCATAAAAGGTAAATACAATAAATATATGTGAAAATTCCATGCTTGGAATTCAAGTATTGGATACCCTTTATTCTTAAGTTTGAGTTGCCTCCATCATCCACTTCTATATTGTCCCATTAAGGCAACTTCCAACACTACTTTATTATAATTTATTGTGTTTAATAATTTCACTCACCCTATATTTGCCTCCCTTCTCATTTTTTAAATATTGAATTTAAAAACATTACTTTATAACGAAAACTTAACCATAATCGATATATATTCATTTTTTAAGGTTCAAAAAGCCACAGATCATTTTGACGTGCCCTCAGTAAACTATAAGTCAAGCTACTCCGCACCTTTCTTTCAAACAAATCTTTCATTTGTTTCGTCTTTCAAGCATAATCAACTTCAATCAAAGAGTCAATGAATGAACCTAGATGATAGATGCATCCTTAGTAGGTTTTTTCGTCCAAATTTTTAAAAAATTAAAAACATTTTCATGACAGCCACTAATCTTAATTTAATTGATTCCACTTTATGTTCCTGTTGTAATGGTTTGAACATAAGAGTAAAGTCTTTATTATAAACTCATCTTTTTCCAAATTATTTGTTTCTTCCAACTTTTCTAAACCTTTTGCCTTCATCGTTACATTAATTTAACTTAGCTAATAACAAAGATGCAAATAGGAATAGAAACAAAAATAATTTAGACCCACAAAAATCTCCAAGGTCCTTTTCAAAGGTCATAAAAGGACAACTTGAAGAGGAATGCATAGTCGACCCATGAAGTCGTACTTTCCGCTCCCTCCAAATATGGTTAAGTAGATGCACACTAGACTAGTCTCCAAATACGACATCAACATCACAATTTGTTATCCTTGCTCACCTAGTTGATCCAACCTGATCTCTACTAATTGAATATGGGACTAGATGAAGGGAAGCTTTACACGAAAAAAGAGGAAAAGGTCGGTATGAACCTCTCCAAGACAAAACACTATCCAAAACTATTCGATTGCAGAGGCAATCCAAACAACAAATGATCCTGAGATTCAACAGAGCAGTCTAACATAATAGAATAACCCAACTATAATATATCACGAACTACCAACTCAGCAATGAAAGAAACATATCCCAAGAAGTTAGAAATCATCTCGGTCGGGTCCGATAGCTTCGCAGAACTCACCACAAAAAAATGGTCAGAGCAATGAGGAATCCAAAGGACCCATCCTCTCTGGTCAAACATGATGGTATTAAGTGTACAAGAGGCAAAAGTACAATAAGATACTTCCTAGAACTTTCATTCAATAATAAAAGAAGAAAAATTCTAGAGATGCTGAAAATGGTCATTCTTTGAGATCATTCAATAGTTTCTTTTAAGTTCAACCACATGCGAGCGAGGATTGAGATTTAAATATCGAGCCTTCTTAGTTGAATTATGCTCGAGTTGGTAACGACAACTAAAAAGTAAAAAAGAAAAACTGTGAACGAGTCTAATGGTATTGTGAACTTGAGGCCTGTAATAAGCAGGAGTAACCCAAACAACACTAGAATTGCTTCTAGAGTTCAAATGAACTCGTGAGAATCTAGCTAGGCAACTTCTGCTATTTCACTATAATCTTAAAAAGACTATAATGGATTAGTCTCTACCAAGGATCTCTAAACAATCCAATCCCCATCTTTCTCCTAGAATCAACTCGGGGTTACAACTCAACGAACTTTTTGAAAA